AATAAAAAAAAGTATGCAAACTTTTTAACGATTAGTACATTTGAATTTTAGATAGAGTATTAAGCTTTCTGCCGAATCTTTAGGATGTAAAAACATGATTATAATGAAGCAAACAAGTGTTGCGATTAATACAATTACCACAATACTCCACGGTAGATTATCTGAAAAATAAATATAAGAAATATGTGTAAAGACCAAATTTTAAATGTTTATAAAAAAAGAAAAATGACGTTACATTGAAAAAAATAAAGTTCTACGTAGTAGAGGAGATTAAAAAAAAGTTTTTAATAATTGGAAAGGCACTAATTTCCTTGAAGTTGCATCTGTACTAGTTCAGGGTTTGAATAAAATAAAGGTAGGTACTATATTTACGTCGCACTAGAGCGGCACAATGGGCTATTGGCAACGGTTTGGGAAACATCCCTGAGGATGATCCGAATACATGCCATCGCAATTTTGATTCTCTCCAGGGGGGATGGCATGCTGTGAATGGCGATTTTTTACAATTTTTCTTAAACGAATTTTTCATTAGTCTTTGCTCCATGAGTTTGGCCTTTTAGCACATAGTTTATTTCATTTTATTTCAATTAATACACATTATCAATATTAATTGAGCATTAGTGTCAATAATGATAGGCAGATTTTTTTTAAAATCAAAAACGATAAGAAGGTATATTTTCTCCTTTCTTTTATTTTTAGTTCAGAAGTTACTTTTTTATTTCAATCAATACATATTACCTACACTAATTAAGCATTGTTGTCGTCAATAATAGTGAAACGCATACCTGCCAACTCTTCCGGATTTTCCGGAAGATTTTATTTTCATATTTACAGTGATAGTAAATATATAAAATTTTTCTTTTATAAACTTAATTTTTAGATGATTTTGATCACCACTATTCTTACAAAAATTAAACACATAGATTAATATGCGTTACGTTATATATGCTATCATGATAGTCAACTTAAGTTCTCTCAAATACAACGTATTTCTTTTCTTAAAATTGAAGTTTTAATTCCATTATAATACCACTGAGAAGAATGATAATGGGAGGGATTAAAAGTTGGCAGGTATGAAAACGATTTCTTACAAATAAATACCTTTACTCCATTACTTTTGCTTTCGAGTACATTGCTTATTTCTTTTATCTGAATATGCATATGTGGCGAATAAAATCATTGCCAAGACAACATTACAAATAATGCAACCCTGGCGCAGAATAACAGAACGTCTTAAGCAGTGTGACTGCGTGCACGTACAGAAATGTGAATGAAGTTTTGTTTTTCATCTAAGAATGAGATGTTTTGTTTTTGAGAGCAACATGTTCATTTAATTAAATCTTTAGACGATCTAATACGGATAATCAACTAATTATTCCATAATGGTGACCTCGAACATAACACGCATAAAAATTGATTGAAATCGAAAGTAAACTATAGATTGTTGTTCCAGAAACATGGAAAAAATTTCTTCAAAAGGACTATTCCACATTATGCAAATTGAAAAGAATTTACACACGACTGAACCTAAAAGAAAGATAAGTTGTTTCTGGATCATTATTTATTTAGTCAAATAATTTTTAAAGTTAAAAGGTTTTAGATAACAATATTGTTCTAAATGATACGTTGTTCCAAATGTTGAGTATGTGTTCTTAACGGTAAAGAATGTCAATACATTTATTTTTATTCATTTTCGAAGTGAAAATGTTCTTTTCTTTGATAAAGTAATGATGTACGGTATTTTAATTGCAAATTTGGAATTTATTTCTTTTATTTTAATGTCATTGAAATCATTGTAAACAAATATTTAGAAATTCGTTTTTAAAGACCTTGCATAGTGCCCGAAGTTTCAGCTGTTCAAATTCCTGTTTACAACAGATCAGATCCTGCCTTATGGTTTGTTATGTGTGAAAGCACATTGGCAAAACCTAAAGCAATTACAGAGTCTATGACTAAATATAATTATGTATATAATTCGTGGTATTCTTATGGAACCCGATGCGATTGACCCAAACGAAAAACTGAAGGAAGAGCTTAAAAAGCGTTCTGGGGATTCTTCCCAGCAAGAGATTCGACAACTTTTATCGGATGAAAAATTAGGTTCAAGAAAGCCTTCTGATTTATTACGCTGTATGAAGCGCCGTGCTCGATCGCTTAAGGTTCCAAATGAACTTATGCTGGATTTTTTTTTACAGCGATTGCCGTCATCCGTTCAATCAATATTAGCAGCAGTTTCTGCTATAACTCTCGACAAAGATGCTGAAATGTCGGAACGAATTTTAGAAGTTAGCCCATCCCCAGATGAAACTTTTGCTATTTCCGGTTCTAATCGACAGTTAAGTGAAGATAGAATATTTCGCGAAATTGAAAACATAAATAAAAGGATCGATCGCCTTTTATCCATCTGTCGCAGAGTTCTCTGGTCATATGCTTAACGTTAATCTCTATCCGACAAACTTCTGCTATTCCCAAATGTCAAGCTCGTAGAAAATGAGCTTGGACGCACGGGTACTAAAAAGCTGTTCCATTTCTTTTGTAAAAGCGATATCAATACCTTTTAGGTATTGATAATAATCTTAAGATAGCTTTAGTTAAGAAATCAGACACAAAAACATATTTTTTCTGAGTAAACTTACCTTTTTTCGATGGATTCGGATTACTGACTCCCAAAATATAGGGAGGGGCGGCCATCTGGAAAATATGATTCTCGATAGTTTGATCAGGAGAGCGGTCCAAAGTTTAAACCCCCTAATGTTAATTTACTTTTTGGGTATCTCGAAGTCTCTGGAGAACTTTTTAAGATGATTGAAAAAATTTTGCATCAAATTTTAAAATTCGTTTAGCCAAAAAATAATCCCATATGAAAAATATTTTTCAATAAATATTTATTATTTTTTTTTATTTAATAATAGTGAATAAAACTATATTGAAATATAAAAAAAAATTACTTCATTTTAAGGAAAGTAATTTTGTGTGTTAAAATACATAATTTGAAAAAAATCGATCAAATAATTTCTGAGAGATTTCCTTTTTTAATTGCTATTGTTTTAATGACACTGAGATTTCCAATTTGTTTGAAAGCTATTGACAGTTTAAGTGCCTTTTTTTGCGAATATGTATCCCTTTAACCAACCAAACAGCAACTACGGAGTTAAAATTTAACGCGATGAAAGAACTATTTTTATCTGATTTTGCTTCCAAATTCGAATTTGTTTGAAAATGATTGAAATTTTCGTGATTTTTTTTTCAGTCTATAACAATAGATAATAGTCAAATGCTAAATCAAAAGTTTGTCTTAATATTGTCTATTTATACATTTTATAGAATATTTTTTCCATAACGAGATTTTGATTTCTTTATTTTAGATACTCTCACTCGAGTAGATGCCAAATTAAAAGTAGCAAGAGAGATAGAGACAACATGTTGCCAGTTATAAATCTTATGAATTAAAAAATAAATAAATAAAATAATAAAAAAACGTAATAAAGATATATAAGATCTATTTAAAATGAGTACCAGCAAGTGACGTCGTAGTCATTTGTCTATTCAGAAGCCAATCAGAGGTCTGACTCACACGCGTGACATCGTTTACAGGTAACAATTAAAATCTGATATAGATCACATAATTAGGCATAATAAATTCACTATTTGAGTTTCAAGCATCTAATTGTTATAAGATTAGTTAGCGAGTAAAATTACTTTTCATTCATTTCTTCTTATTGAATCACAAATTCTGTGTTTTTTAGGTTAAACGTCTTATTTTCAAGTTCAGATGATTATTTTCAAATCCAGGTAATCGTCCATTTCTTTATGATTAGCAAGCTAGCAAAATTGTTCTTACACAAAGCTATAATAATTGTATATTTCGAAATCAGAATATTCTTTGTTTTCTGGAGTACCTAGTACAAAATTCCATTAAAATTTATAGTCGAGGTAAGGAAACAGTCCTGTATATACGTTATAACTGTTAATAAATTGCGGTAATCACTATTCTTTACTCCTGCCGAAAGCATTTCAGGCATGAAATGGTTTCACCGACAGATTTATTTTCCAGGGAATAAATAGGTCAGCAAATTTTTACACCGCAATTGAATCGGTGGAATGAATACTTACTGTCCCCTCTTCTCTGCTACGTAGGGAGGGGAAGGGAAGAAGAGGACAATAATCAGTTTATGATGCAATACATTTAGACCATAAGTTTTTCGTCTTAAGAGTTACTCTTAAAGAATATCTGTGAATAAATCTACACATTCATTATACACCGAAGAGCCATTACATTATTACAGTCCTGCTAATAACATGTAGGACTACCTTTAGCCCTCAAAACTGCTAACACCCTCCGAGGCATTCATTCCACAAGGTGCTGATAGGTAGTCTGAGGTATCTGGTACCAAGCGCTCACCAACTGGTCCTGCAATTCCCTCACACGAGGGGGTTGCGTGGCAGCACGAATTTGGGTTTCCAAGTAGGACCACAAATGCTCTATTGGAATAAGGTCAGGTGAATTTGGGGGCCAAGACATAACTTGAAAGCCACTGGAATGTTCCTCGAACCAATCCATAACGATTCGACCCTTATGACATGGCGCATTATCCTGTTGGTAAACGCCATCCCCCGCAGGAAAAACTGTTGCCATGAATGGGTGAACCTGGTCTGCAACTATGTTCATGTAGCTTACAGACGTCAGGGATTGTTCTATGAGGATTATGGATCTTAATGTGCCCCATGAAAGCATTGTTCCTGGACCAGAAACTCTGAAAACCTGGGGGAGCCCATTGTTATAGATGGAGGGTGGTCATAATGTAATGGCTCTTCGGTGTATATAAACTTGTGCAAAGACAAACTATAAACTAAATTAAAAATATTTTGAAAAAAAAAATCTTTAGCTTTTGGAACAAAACTAGTTTTTGATGCGAACTCTTCACACCTTCATTAGGTTAGAAGGTTAGTTCAAATAATTGTCTTAATGCAACAACACACTTCTAATAACACTTCTCATTACCTGCAATTTTGATAATTTTTGTATCGCAATCGACTCCTTCGTAACCTTCATAACACCTGTAAAAATTTAAAATATTAAAAATGAAATTTTAAGATGTCATTCAACTTTGATTGAAATTTAAATGTTCATGATTATAATTTAAGTAGTCACCTGCATTCTTTTTGAAAACCCACAACTTCACATTTTCCGTGTATACAACTTCCTGGTTTGCAAACATCTAATAAAAGTTAGTACTTTTTATTCTAAATAAAAAAAACACTTAAGAAAGATGATGTGAGAATATTCAATTAAAGTCTAAATAAATTAAATTACAAGCAGTTTACAACCATAAAAAAATTGCTTGCATTCATCCTTAAAAATAGTAATAAAAGGAACAAGTTTCACAAAAAAAGTTTAACTTAGTTACTTACTTATGCAATCATCTCATGCAAAATATGCATCCACTAAAAGTTGTGTAGGAAGTTAAAGCTTTTTGTCTTTGTCAATGCCTTCCGATGCAAATTTAAAGCAGAAAATTGAATTTTTTTAAACATAATATTGCTTTAAGTTTAAAATGGCCGTGAACTTACTTATGCACGCATCTTTATTTCTTCTTACAGTTTCTCTCTTTGGTTTGTATCCATNGCGCTGCTCAGCATACGCATGCGCTACGGGTCTGAAATTCTAATCATTTGCATATCATGCTCTACTTTGCATTTCCTGAAAATTTCAGCTCACTCGCGTAAGTCCTTCATGGTGTTGCAATTTTCACAAACATGAGTTTATGTTCAAGTAGCTTACAGACGTCAGGGATTGTTCTTCTATGAGGATTATGTGTCCTAATGTTCCTGGGCGAGCAACCCTGCAAATTGTTCCTGGCGAGCATTGTTCCTGACGAGCAAAAGCATTGTTCCTGGGCGAGAAACCCTGAAAACCTGGGCGAGCCCATTGTTATAGATGGATGGTGGTCATAATGTGATGGCTCTTCGGTGTATATAAACTTGTGCAAAGAAAAAAAATAGACTAAATTAAAAATATTTTGAAAAAAAAAATTAGCTTTTGTTTAATTTAGCTAATTTTTGATGCGAACTCCTCACACCCTCATTAGGTTAGAAGGTTAGTTCAAATAATTGTCTTAATGCAACAACACACTTCTAATAACACTTCTCATTACCTGCAATTTTGATAATTTTTGTATCACAATCGACTCCTTCATAACCTTCATAACACCTGTAAAAATTTAAAATATTAAAAATGAAGTTTTAAGATGTCATTCAACTTTGATTGAACTTTAAATGTTCATGATTATTATTTAAGTAGTCACCTGCATTCTTTGTGAAAACCCACAACTTCACATTTTCCGTGTATACAACTTCCTGGTTTGCAAATATCTAATAAAAGTTAGTACGTTTTATTCTAAATAAAAACACTTAAGAAAGATGATGTGAGAATATTTTTAAACTTCAATTAAAGTCAAAATAAATTAAATTAAAAGCAGTATACAACAACAAAAAAGTGCTTGTATTCATCCTTAAAACTAGAAAAAAAGGAACAAGTTTCACGAAAAAGTTAAACTTTAGTTACTTACTTATGCAATCATCTTTATTAAACTCTTCCACCTTTCCTTCGGGTAATTTAAATCCTGGGAGGCACTTACAGAAGTAGTCATCATGTTTTGGAACACAAGTTGTAGAATTCCCAGAACACGTGTTCATAACGCAAGGGCCAATTTCTGAAACACATTGTGGAACTTTCTAAAACACATTGTTGAAATTTCTAAAACACATTGTTGAAATTTCGATAACAAATATCTAAATTAATTTTTTTCAAATGACCACCTGGGTTGGCATTGTCAATTCAGGCGTATTAGGGCAGATTTGTTGGCCACTTTTTCAGATGCACCATCGTTGCTCCCACAAAAAGGACAGAGAGTAAAAGAACAACCATGCCTTGTCCGGGATACGAACCCAAAGCCTTCCTCATGCAGGGCCAGTTACAGAGCCCCTACACAGTTTATAGTCGGCATTTTTAAATAAAATAATAAGGATGAAAAAAAACTGAATAGGGTTTTCCAAATTTAAACATTAGCGTTATGTTGTTGAATGGGATATTTCTCTTTAAAATTAACCTACATCAGAGATAGCGAAACTTTTTGATTAGTGTGTCAATTTAATTACGATTCATTATTTTCGGGCTATACTAGCTGTATGTAAACAATATTTCTTCAAGCTGCAAATGTTTTAGAAATGGTAAAACTGTTAACTCCATTTGAAGCATCATCATTAGATCTTTTAAAAATAATGTCATTTTCACTCATGCAAAATATGCATCCACTAAAAATTGTGTGCTTTGTCAATGCCTTCCGATGCAAATTTAAAGCAGAAAATTGAATTTTTTTAAACATAATATTGCTTTAAGTTTAAAATGGCCGTGAAAAATCATGTCTTTTTGCCAATTACTTGCAATGATATGGATTTTTCGTAAGATTTTATTATAAATTGGAAATTTATATTAATTGAAATTTGCAGTTCTGAATTTAATTTTAATTGAACATTCATCTAATTTCGTGATTCGTTAATTGTTATCAATTGATTGATGTTATCAGAAACATTGTGAACAAAAATGATCATCCCAATAAGCAAATATTTCTGTATATTTGAAGAAGAAGCAAAATTTAAATGTTTCTTTTCTAATAGTAAAATGCATAAATTTAATTCAAATTAATTATACTTAACACTACACAAATAAATAAAACATAAAATTTTTAAACGATAGTGTGAACCTTTTTATTGTTCTTTTTTTCTGAAAGTAAAACAATTTTCAGGTATATTTCGTATAATATCTTCGTTCAATCCCAGATATGTTCAATAAGAACTGTTGTTGTTCATTTACGTCGCACTAGAGCGGCACATTGGGCTATTGGAGACGGTCTGGGAAACATACCTGAGGATGATCCGAAGACATGTCATCACAATTTTGATCCTCTGCGGAGGGGGTGGCACCCCCGCTTCGGTAGCCTGACGACCTGCACGCGAAGTCGAGCACTTTACGGTAGAACAGTTTAACGAGGACCAATACCGCACACCCTCGGTCCCCACGCAGGCTGATCCAAGAGGTCACCCACCCGCACACTGACCGCAGCCAGTGATGCTTGACTTCGGTGATCTGCTGGGAACCGTGTCTTAACGATCAGTCCACTGCGGGACCAATAAGAACTGATATTAGGTTTAACAAATTTAAACCAACTAACAAATAAATATCAACTTAAACGAATATTCCTCCTCGTATTCGGATCCTCGTTAAATCAGAGCTTGTAATAAATTAAATTGGCAGCAATCGCAAAATAAAATTCAAATGAATCGATCTATAAACCAATTCGTTAACCATTCGAACATTAACCATCGTTTGAATACGCATTTCATATCTGTTAATCGTGAGATTTTTCAGTTTGACGCGTCAACCCCGCACAAACCTGAGTTTTAAAGCAGCGTGCATGCTCCAATTTCGGTAAAGTGCTTACCATTAAAGCAAAAAAAAAGTACGTACGGAGCGTGTGCCATAATAAATGAAAATTCAAAATCTCTCGATTATTAAAAGCTGATAAAAATGATGCATTACTTATGCACGCATCTTTATTTCTTCTTACAGTTTCTCTCTTTGGTTTGTATCCATCAAGGCAACTGCAATAATAATCATAAAAACCTACTGGAACGCATTCAGTTGTTTTACTGTCACATACATCATCATCACATTTGTTTTTAACTGCAAATAAATTTACTTGGTTATTGAAAAAGCAACATTTGTCATTGCTACTAACTTCGAATACGAAATAACTCAGTTATTTATACCTTCAAGTCTTCAAAAATAGTCAAAATTAACACTTTTATATACAGGGTGTTTCGTAATTTCGGCTCTTAATATATATATATATATATATATATATATATATATATATA